TTAAGTGCCACGCACAGACTAACACTGTAGAACTTTTGTATCTCTGTGAGGAAGCACACATGTAGATTATGTGTTCCAGTAAGAAAACCTGACACTGCAAAGTATTTTAAATTGTACAGGTGCCATTGATTTAATATATGTGTAAAAAACAAGTTCAACATGTTTGCTTAAGTAAATGAACAAACTGTTAACACCTGGAGACTTTGGATTGGCTGTCCTTCACCACAATACATACAAACATACATACATACACACACACACACATACATACATACATATGGAGTGAAATTAAATAGGTACAAATATATTTATATTATTTCATAAAACATTTTTCTTTATATGCAACAGATAAAACCCATTGCCACCCAGGATATTGTAGCTATACCTATCTAAAAATATCCACCAAAGTCTTCCATGTGCAGTGACCTGTGACATTTGGTATAAAAGGAAAACATAGATTCCCTGACTTTAGACTTTACAGCAGTGCCTCCCCACAAGCAACACAGACACCCTATAACTCTTCACCAGCTGGCAGGGCGGGAGAAGCCCTGCATGAAGCCCAAAATACAGGGAGGTGCTGACGAACCACAGCTCAAAACAAGATGACCAACATGAGCCAAACAAGTACATCTGACAACAATTAGAGTTCAGAGCTGGAAGGAACAACATTTGCAGAAGGATAAGAACAGATAAGGCACAATGTATTGAGACGTGGCCTACAAGTAGGGTAGAGTAGGCTCCTTATAATTCAGACAAGGATCTCTGTTAATGTTAAAAGCTACTCTGAGCTCATGAGTTACATGTTGTAGTTGGTCAAATTCAGCAGAATTGGACAGTTTTTATTACTCTTTCAGTTACACCTCAGGAAGAAAATAGACAATATGAGAGAAAGGGCGGGGAGGGTTCTTGCTCTGAGTTCCTGTTTTCTAGTTTGTACATTACTAAAGTAACTTGGCTGCACCACTGCACATGAACAATGGCCCTCTGTTGTCACTAAGTCTTCTCTTTTAGTGCTTGCTAAACATCCCAACCTATATTAAGTGTAATTTAGAATACAATTCTCCAAATTCTGTATGAACCACAAATGTGTAAACAAATAAATCCCCAAGTGCATTATTTTCTTTTTTGTGAGAACATGTAGAATTGAATTGATCACATTTTATCTTTTGTTTTTTGCTGTGTATTTTGTGAAGCACTTTGTGACTTTGATTAGATAAGTGCCAAACAAATACAGTTATTATTATTATTATTATTATTACCTTGTCATAGATGATCCCGTGGAGCCTGTTCATTATCTACTGAACTTCTGGTTACAGTAATAGGTTGTTTAATTTGATTAAACTAAGGATTCCCACATGATGCAGAGAGCACAAGGTAGAGTACTGACTGTCCACTGTGAAGAAACTGCTTTGAATAGGTCTAAAATATGAACAGGCAGCAATGAAGGTAACATACTCTACATAGTGTTCATGAGCCACTTGAACTTAAGAATGAGTACCCTGCTTTTAGGGAAATCAACCAAAACCATGATGTGCTTTGTTGCAAAACCGGTTAGAAGTTATTTTAAAATAGCAAAGAGTGAATTTGCAAAAGGTGAATTAAGTCAGTCTGGATCTGATTCCAATATGTTTGTTTTCTGCACATTATGACTACAGACACTGCAATCATGCACTCCACACTTTAGTCACCTCCTTGTTACATTTATCCTCGCTGTATGTATTGTATATATTCTGTGTCATAACATGTTGTTTTATGTTGTACCACAGGGCATAGCAATACAAATTGCGTTGAATCACAACTTAATGACACTAAAGGCAATCTGAATCTGAATCTGAATTATAAACCAAAGATCATGCTAGAATGGAGATTCAGTTTTGTGCAAGCTAACAAAATACAACATATACATGAAATTTAATTTGAAATCACTTTATTTAGAGTGTCTCAGACCTTTGCATGTTTTTTTGACAATACCTTATCTTACATTAGATGTCATTGTGAGCAGCTTTAACGTCAATGTTAATAATAGCTAAATCACTTGTGCATTACAGCAACAAATACACAATAAAACCACAACAAAAATAAAACAAGTTGTATTAAATAATAATAATCACTATTCTTGTTTTATTATTAATATTATTATTTGTGAAATCAAGATTATTCAACATTTTAATTTCCTCGGATCTCCACGGACATCGCTTCTGCGTCACCCTTCAAACCCCACCCCTGAGGTAAGACGTAAGCATGACGTAAGGATCTCCTCATCGCCATGTTACATCAGTAGGAATTAGCCAGCTAGCAAAGCAATTTATGGGCGAGAGGCACTGATACGATGGAAACGACCGTCTGACCTCGGCGAAACGTATCTTTACAAGTACGTGAACTCTGTCGTCTGTTGTGTGAGTGACGTGTTGTAACGCTGTGGCGGAGGTCTGACCTTGGCGCCGGGCGAATGTAGCCGATGCTAACTAATGCTAATGCTAACTTTTCGATGATTGCCCTTGGTTACGGTGTCGTAAAGCGTCCTAAACGCGAACACCAGCTGTTTCTACGAACGCCAAAGATAACAGCTGGGTCCGCCTGTGGATTCTGACCGATAGCTAATGTTGCTGTCTGTCACTGAGCTGTCGATGAGCTGTGACCGAGAAGCTGAGCAGCGATGATAGCAACTAGCTAAACAAATGACTGTCTGTTTTCAGTCATCACCTAAAATACAGATTCTTCGTTTGTAGCTTCTCCTGTCAGCCAGGCTCAGATCAACTGGACTGACAGTCGGTCTCCTCCCTCTCTGACTCAGGTGAAGCTGTGAGGTGAAGGTGACATCCTGGGACCATGTTGGCTCGGCTCTTTAGACTCCACGGCCTGCTGGTGGCCTCACACCCGTGGGAGGTTATAGTGGGCACCCTCGCTCTCACTGTCTGCCTCGTGTCTATGAACACCCTGGCAGCCAGCAGCCACATGTGCACCTGGAACGAGTGCCCCAAAGTCGAAGTGAGTTGTGGTGTGTGTTGGTGCATGTGTGGGTGTGGCGGGTCATCTCACTTCGAACTAAGGGGACTGTAACGTTGCTCACTTTGTGTCCGTGCACTAACCTGATGACTTTTCTCTGTCTGTTCTCTTGCAGAAAAACCAAAGCAGCGACATAACCATCCTAACAATTACTCGCTGCATGGCCATAGTTTACATCTATTTCCAGTTCAAGAATCTTAGACAACTGGGATCCAAATATATTCTGGGTCAGTATTAGATGAGATGATGGAGAAGTTGCACCATACTCATTGAACAGTGACAGCTCTGCTTCACTTACTGTTTTTGTTTCTTTTCCCCACAGGTATTGCAGGTTTATTTACAGTATTTTCCAGTTTCGTTTTCAGCACAGTGGTCATCCACTTCTTTGGGAAAGAGCTGACAGGCCTCAAGTAAGTGTTTCAAATGTTCTGACCATTTGCTTTACACCCAGATTGTTGAAGACATAACATTTATTTCCTAGATCACAGTCTCTTGTGGGGCCTCTATAGGTGAAGCTCACAAGTGATGAGGGAAAGTCATTTCTGTCACTTGAGAATATTGCATCACTTTATTTTTGTGATCATAAATCCAAAAAAGTAACTCCAACCTGAAATTAGAAGCTTTTTAAAACAACGTAAGATAATTACGCTAACAATAATATATGTGTAGTTAACCCAGTTTGTATATATTAGGTAGTATTAGTAGTAAGGTGCTCAGGTCAAACTTTAAATGAAAATGACTGGTGTTCAAGATAGGGGCCAGTCAATTGATATAGTGTGCCCCTCTAGCCATTTTAATGATTCAAAGCTCTAAAGCCTTCCATCACATCCATCATTAGGAATGTCTGAGACTCAATAAGACATACGGTTTCTGATCAAGAGATGTGCAGCCCTTTCACATTTACCAC